TGCCGGTCTTGGACCGCAAATGAAGCTCCAAGCAATCCAAGGATGCCAACCTCAAACTGCATTATTCTCATTCCACCAGGATGCGGTCCAAGGTTGGCATCCTCGGACAAAAAGGTAATTTTGAAAGAAAAAAATTGCTCATTGATTGATCTTCCTTGTAATTTGGGCTATAAACAGAGCATTTTGTATTTTCCCTGCGAGGCCCGACGTAATTACTTATCAATAAACATGGATCTCTTCTTCACAGTCCTAAGGTTATTGAGAAACAAACTCAAATAATTCCGAAACAAACTCAAATAAACATATTTTCCATCGTTTATTTCTACTCAAGAGAAAAAGCAATGCATTCTGTGTCGTACTCAATGAACATGTGACGCTGAGCCCAACTTCCAAGCACGAAGTACACATCATCAGCCTTAATTCCAATGCACATTACCTCCTCAGCCACCTTAATAAACAGAGTCTCAGGCATCATAGACCAGTCGTCTTTTAATATCAAGAATTTTATCAAAATCTTCATCTGATCTTACATAGAAGCAGAGTTTCAGAGTTCCTCTGGGATGGGGAGTCTCTTGAAGCTTGACCTGATCCCAAAGGGCTCCGACTATCAGATCGTACACGCACGACGGTGGGCAGGTAAGTGAGGGAGGTGCCGGAGTCAATGAAGAGATACGATGCAGGTCCTTGGGATCGAAGGTCGCATGTCGTCAACGCTAATGCCCTGCAGATTCAAGAAGTGGAACGTTGGGACCAACTCAAACTGTATAATGGGAGTCGACACGAAGACAACGCCAAGGATCTCAGGGTGTTCCCCAAAATACAATGTGCTGGTTTCACCCACACGGCAAGGTAGTACGAGAATTTGTAGCCAGAATAAAAGCCTTGGAAGAAGGAGGCAAGGCCGCCGCCCAGCTCCACCATCTTTGCCCCGACATCGTGGAACCTATGGTTATTATGACCACAACCAAACGCTATCTCAGGGAAAGACCTATTAAGATACCATCGTTTGTTGTAGAGTTAGTGGAAGTACCAGCATCAGTACTGGTACCGACATGCGAATCTCTATCTTCGAAAGAAAAGGTTTCCATGGAAAAGACACTATTAGAAGTTGAACCATCACGGTAATTGACTGAGTAAGTGCATTGTCCGACACAATCCAAGTTAACCATCTTGCATAAGAGTCTCACGCAGTCGAGTGTGTCATATGTCGATGAATTGGCAACGTAAAAAATCGGATCGCTTTGCTCATAACAATTTGTGCATGGCTTCCACTGTGCCCATGTGATGTCGCTACTAGTGTCCATAATCATACGATATTTCGAAACCATCGTTTGGAGTTTGGATGGAGGTGGTTCCGCAGAAGGGGGTTTATCAGATAGGACCCATACGAAGTGGTTGAAAGAAATACTACTGTGATATTTTTTAGTTTTTTTTTTTTCACCCATTTTTTTTTTCTTTCGGCAAAGATCATTTTCAAGTAGTCTTATTATAATAACTCTTGGTTCAGAGAAAATAAAACTAGTAAATCTAATATCTTAACAACTTACAATAACTCTTGCATCTAAGAAAATAAAATTAGCAAATCTAAGATTTTAAAAACCTTGATGCCATTAAAGCAGTTTTCGTTAAACAAAAAAAATAACCACAATTATTATGCTTGATAATATAAAGACAATATAATTAAATATGACAAGAAACAAAAAGAGATTGCCAAAGATTATCTCAACCGAGCTTGTTAAACCCCACACCGAATCACCACTATCTGATAGTGCGGGATCAACAATCAACCTTCAATCTCAATCGAGAAAGCAAGTTTAGGCCAAACCCTCTAATGAAACAATAAACTCTTTTATTATAAATTTCAAATCATTAGGTGAAGCCCTTAGCAACCTAGTTTGAGAGAGGCTTCTCTTTACTACCACAACCCTATAATCTAAAACCCCAATAAGAAATAAGAGATCATGAGAGAGCTGAGAGAACCACCATGAGAGAAATATCAAAAATGAGAGAGTGGGGCATGCTCATTTGGGTCTTTTAAAGGAGAGAGAAAAACTTTCTTAAGAGAGAAAGATATTCTAAGACGGACGTGCCACCTTTGTGGGATGAGAGAGAGATAGATAGAAATTAAGTGTAAGAGATAAGGTGTAGATATATAGATACGGGTCAATCCCCTTTTATAGTGTTTGAACAATATTATGCTTTTTTAGGGTTTTTCTTGACTTGCTTCTTCTTGTGAAATTAAATATAAACTATTGATCTTGGGTGACTTGTGGGGTGAGTGATTTGAGCCCTCCATTCCATAAATGGGTCATCAACATTATGAAAGGTTCTAGAACATGTATTCCCCTTTTCTAAACCATTTTCCCATCAATAGAAATTAAATAAAATAGTTCCAAATATAATATTGTGATACCAAAAATAATGCACAAGCCTTCTTATGCTTTCCAAAAATCCATTCAGAGCTTCCTAAAAGCTTTCCAAAACATCACAAACCTTTGTCTTCAAGCTTTATCCAACAAAATTGGAAAGCTCCTTAGAATAGAGTGTGCCACCCTAGGTGGCACTCATGGGCCCCACCCACATTACAATGGTGGGCCCATATGCCTATTGGGCCTCCCATGCAAAAATAAATTAATTAAAAAAATTTATGATTTTTAAAAATTCATAAAATCCAATATGAAGAATTAAATCAATCTAAAATCAATATCTCTAATTTTATAAATCCAAATTTGATAAATAAAATATCCAAAAATCTAGAAAAATTCAAATAATAATTCTAAAAATTAAATATCATTAAAATAAATATAATTAAATTCATTAAATGGAAAAATAATCCATATAGTCTAGGAATTAAATAGATAAATGTTGGGGCATTCCATCTTCAACTGTGGACTACAGTCCACACTTGCTTTATCAAACCAACTCAGTATTTTTCATGACCCACAGTCCATGCAATGATTCATTAATAGGTCACCAAAGTCTGACCGAAGCATAATCCCAGTTTATGGATTGTAGGTTCTCACCTAGAGACACACTAATGTCACCTAGACCTGATGCAACCACAACTCCTATAGTGCATAGGGGTATTTCTCGCAAATGCATAAGCTTCACCCTAAAAGGTGATTCTCTTTTCCGAACCGACTATGATATATGCATGCCGTGTGATTGCTCGCAGATAAGGCTTTGGCCCCCATCTCTGAAGGCCACCATCACACACAAAGATCACACAGTCCATCAGTTCACTCATCCGAGCATACTCCGAGATCATCAATGGATGACCTATTATAACCCTTATCTGATAGTTTTCTATGCCCAGGTAAGATATATTTTTTCCAACCGACTAGCTTAGCTCGTCAAGCTCAGTTCGATATCAGCAAACATCATTTCTTAGTATGGTTCACACACGACCATACACCCACTGAGTTTATGTTCTATTATATCAAAATGTTTAGTGGCGCATAGCGAGCCTCACGCACTCATAGTCGATGGTGTTGGGGTCATAATATGGGGAGCTAGGGGAGTCTCGATGGGTGAGCTTTAGCCATAATCCATCGACTGTTAGCAACAGAGAGGTGGAATGAATATACAGTAGGAGAGTAAGGACTTTCGGGGCAGCCATTTTCCACATGTGAAGGAGCATACTATTCCAGTTTCTACCGTTTTGTGATATTTATGGATGGTTTTGAATAGCGTTTGGAGACTATGTGCACCTCATATCCGTGACTGTAGTAATATGCTCAAGTTAGGTTAAAATTCCAAATTTGAAACATGTACTTTAGGTTATATTTGGCACGCCATATCTCTAATTCTGGTTTTATAATTTAATTTGCTCTAATCGTCATTGAGGAATCTATTTTAGGCCTCCCATATTGCCTGAATCCTAAATTTGAACTTGTATTTTGAGGTATGTTTGGCGCGTCATATCTCCATTTGAAGGTGTTAGGGGCAATTTTTCTATACTTCCCCTAATGTATAGTAGTTATATATTTCCTCTTATCGAGCTATTAGATCTGAATGAACGGTTCCCCTAATGTATAGTAGTTATATATTTCCTCTTATCTAGCTATTAGATCTGAATGAACGGCCGAAAGTATAGCAGTTATATACTTCCTCTTATCTAAACGTCAGATCTGATTGAAAGGCTGAGCTAGATACCAAAGTACAATGTTACATCTCTACAATGTTTTACTTTTAATATTTTTTAAAATATTATAATATCAAATTTGGGACATCCACTCCTCTCTTAAAATCTCACTGGCAAAAAATGTATATAAAAAAAAATCTCGATAAAATAAAATGAACAAAATATCCCTACAGTTCTAGGGGTATTTTGGTCATTTTGTTTTATTGAAAATATTTGCTTTTTATTTTTTTAGTTATGCCTCATTGAGATGATGGCACGTGCCATATTTTATATTTATATAATTTATATAATAAAAGCTAAAAATGCCATATTTTATATTTATATAATTTATAGAATAAAAACTAAAAATAAAATACTCTTATGAGGAGTCGGATCCAAATCAAACGATCAATAGCTTGTTTGATCTAAAATTGAACGGCTGGATTGCCGAACTATATATATCTTCTTTACAATAGAGAAAATAAACCTTTCCCTATAGCTAATGACAATCCTGAAAATTGGGCATCTATTAAAAATTGGAAGTGCCCAAGTTACAAACTAATTTTTTCTATACCCTAATCGCTCGCGTCCTATTAAGAATAGAAAGTATCCAAATTCATTGCCGAACTGTATATATCTTCTTTACAGTAGGGAAACTTTTCCCTATAGCGAATGACAATCCGGAAAATTGTGCATCTATTAAGAATTGAAAGTGTCCAAATTACAAAATAATTTTTTCTATACGCCAATCACTCGTGCCCTATTAAAAATAGGAAGTGTCCAAATTTAATTTTATATATTAGTGTCGTCCATCTCGCAAAACAATTATTTACATTGCCATTAGTCTACCTCAACCTAATTTATCATGGACTTACTAATGGCCACCCCCTCTGCTCTTCTACTGTGTATGTTCTCCATCTCTTCACTTTCTCAACCATCTTTCGCCGGATACACCACCGGATTCCGACTAAAACTTATCCATCGTAACTCCCTTCCATTTTATTCCCCAAATGCAACTAAGTATGATCGAGCCATGCTCGCGATCGACGGCTCATTTGGACGCCTCAACCATTTCCACTCGATTCTAACAGGAAAATCCCTTTCGAGGAGATCTTCACCATCGAAGCTTCGATCGACTGTCACGAGTATGCCCCCAGAGTATCTTATGACTGTTGGGATTGGGACTCCAGTTTTGAAATACCAAATGATCATGGACACTGGGAGTGATGTCGTGTGGATGCAGTGCCTACCCTGCCCCCAATGCTTTCGGCAGAGTGCTCCAATTTTCGATCCCACCAAGTCGTCGACATACCAAAAACTTGAGTGCTCGTCTCCGCTGTGCAAAGGCACGAACACCCATTGCGACGCAGGATGCTCTTACAAGGCCACTTATGAGGACGGTTCGAGCACCATTGGCACATTCTCCTCTGAAACCTTCACTTTTGAAGAGACTAAAACCAGTGCAATGACCAACACTAGTGATATTACCAGTATCAGTCCCAGGATTGGAATGGGTACTGGTGAATCAACCTCAATTCAGGGAATTGGCTTTGGATGTGGGCATCAAAATACTATGTCCCATAATGGAGGTGCTGGGATTGTAGGGCTCGGGGGCGGGCCCCTCTCCCTTATTAGCCAATTGGGTAGCTCTGTAAACAACAAATTCTCCTATTGCCTTGCATCAAGTGGCACAAGCATGTTAAATTTTGGTGCACATGCCGAGGTTCCAGCTGCTACTGCCAAGTCTACCCCAATTTTCCGGTTGCCGAATAACCCGACTTTCCACATTTTGGATCTCAAAGATGTGATGGTCGGATCTACTAGTGTTGGCATCCCACCGGGAACATTTGATCCTACAGTTTCTGGTAAAGGCTTCATTATAGATTCCGGCACCACAATGATTCTCCTAGCCCAAGTTGCATACGATAAGGTGGTCGGAAAATTGCGAGAAGCCATTACACTACCGAAAGCAGACATCCCATTTCAAACACTTGAGCTATGCTACACAGTGAATTCACCTGGCGATCTCACCGGTGTTCCGGAAGTTACATTCCAATTTTCCGGCAATGCAGACTGGAAACTAGGCCCTGACAATTTGTTTTTGGAGATTCAAAAAGGGCAGGTTTGTGTGGCCATTGCAGCATCTAATTCTTTGTCAGTCTTTGGTAACCTAGCTCAACGTAACATGATCGTGGAGTATGACTTGGGGATGGAGAAGTTATCTTTTGCTCCTGCGAATTGCAATGCCGTTTAAGGTTTTGAATTCTTAGAGGCGGGGCCTCTTTCATTTGCTTTGTGATTATGGATTCTGGGAATAAAACTTCTATCGCTTTCTTTTGTTGACTGATGCTGAAATAGATAGTACCAAAAAAATTTGATGGCCTCTATTTAATCAAGGGACATTATTTTTCTTAGACATACATGCGATTTTGATATGGAAAATTGTTTCATGTGGGCTGGACCGCATTTCTACAATATGCAGTCCCAAGGTGTAAAGCACCCATCTTTAAAGATGGACGTAAAAAACAATTGAACTTAACGGTCCAAATATTTTCTTTATAGAATTATTGTTTCTAATTTTCAAATTTTATTTATTTTTCATATTTATGATCTCCATATTAGAGATTACATGTCCTTAAAAAATAAATTCAAAAATCCTTCTCAAAAATGGATTTTTAAGAGGTGACTCTTTTCTACATGGACTCATAAAAATTGTGTCCTTTTGATATATTATTTTTTAAGCTTTAGATGAAGAGATTACTTCTAAATAGGTTTTCATGCAAGAAATCAAATGGACACTATACTCCCTAAGAATCATGAACTCTTCTACCTTTTAATGTGGCCTTCTAGGAATGAACTCAAGGCATACGTCAGCATTGCAAATGCCACAATAAAATGTCTTGAGTTTCATTCTTATTACATGTACGGAATCTCTCCCCCCACTAACCTACCTTAAAATATATAAATTAAAATAAAATAAAATAAAAAAAGAAAGAGAGAAGAGGAAAGAAAAGAAAAGAAAGAGAGGATTCGTAGATGCTAGCGATAAATAGAAAAATTCAAAACAATATCATCGATGTCTCCCCCTTCAATGACTCTCTCATTCTCTCTATCCTCTTACTATGTAATGGTGAAACTCTATTTGTCATGCCCATGCCCAGGGCACTTGTTCTAGTGCCAAACACGGACGCACTGAATCAGAGCTCCTTGAATGGTCTCACTATGAGTTATTTTTGTAAAAACCTAAATAACTGGAATATTAAACAATCAAAGTAAGCTCCTTCAATGGTTTCACCATGAGTCATCTTTGTAAAAACCTAAATTAACTGGAATATTAAAATATCAAAGTAAAGTGCATCTTCAAATAGTGTCGAGAAATGTGGTTTTAATACTAAAATATTTGTGATAGCCTTATAATATATTTTTATCTTTAATTATAAAAATTAAAGTTTGTAGATCAAGCATATCTATAAAAACTTGATAATCTTGAAAATCGACTGTCCAAAAATGCATTACAAGATGCATTATTTTCAAAATTTGAAATCTATTTTTTCTCATGTCAATACATCTTGATGTCGAGATTATCAATTTGAGGATATTTGGCTTCGAAAACTTCGCTCAGTAAAATTTTTTAGGTGGATTCTAATTTGATTGTTTAGAGCCTCGACTATATATATAAACTTTTTTTCCATTGAATTTTGATGATGTGGCACTTAGAAAAGGTCCACAAAATTAGTTATCCTGGTCACGCTTTTAAGCGGTGGCGCCCCTATGTAGCCAACCCTTCACACGCTAAATTCCTCACTTTGCGGACCCTAATGTAGGGAACTCACGACAAGGGACAACAACAAATTCCCCTTCTTCTTCCTTTTACTGATCTTGAATTTCCTTCTCTTAAAGACCAGTGTTCATCTCAAAGCTCTGAACTTCATTTCTCTCTCTTTCTTTCGCTCTCTTATACTTGGAACAATCCTGGTTCAGTTTCCTCGGTCTTTAATCCCTCCACTCTCTCTCTCTCACCAATGGGATGCGGCGGATCGAAGCAAGAAATTGCCGCAAACTGCACTGTGAGCCGACGTCTCCTCCGCAATGACACCCAAGGATCCCAATCCAAGCGCCTCGCAGCCCTTCCCCATGCTGGTTATGGCAGTGAGAAAGATCAAGAACATTCCACGACCGATTTAGAGAAACCAGAAGGTGCTGAGGTAAATGCAGAAACCGCATCCTTAGGGGACAGAAACTCGGCTATTTTGGGTGAAGTCAAGGACATAGCAGTTGAAAACGTGCAGGAAAACAACGATGGCACGAATGAGAAGAGTGGTCTGGAGAATGGTAGTAAAGAGGATGGCAGACTAAAGAATCGTGCGAAGGATTCGGCGAGGTTAGTTAGCAGGGATTCGCCGGATAAATATTTTTCGTCACGGAAAGATGAGGAAAATGTTGTAGGTGTGGTCGAAGGGCATGAATTCTACTCTCCACGATATGAACCCAAGGATAGGGGTGCAGGAGGAGATGCATTCTCCAATAGCCAAGACCCAGGTATTTGTTTCCTTCTATTTCCTTTGAAATAAATTGCGTTTTAATGGTAAATGAATTTGGAAGGCTTTAAACTGTTTGGACATATGAATTGAAAATGTAGGTGACAAGGAATTTGCGGATCTAAAAGAGACTATACTTGTTGTCAAGGTCAATGTGGAGATTCCTGTTGAAGGCATGAAGGAGACTGTTATTGAAACAAAATCAAATGAGGTATCATTTTGTTCTTAGATCTTTCAAAAATAAGTCCATAACTATAATTTTTCTATGGGGTAAGGTTTCTATACTTCCCCTACGGCATGGAAGTTCTATCCTCCCCCTAACATCCAGCCGTCTAATTTTGATCAAGAGAGTCACTTACCGTTTGATCTTAGATCCAACGTCTCAAAGTTTTTTATTTTTAGTTTTTTTAATACCATTTTTCTGAATATGAAACTTGATACATGCCATCTTCTCATTGGGGTGCACCTATAAAAAAATACTAACAATAATTTTTTGATAAAAAATAATGGCCAAAATACCCCTGAAACTTTCAAGGGTATTTTGGTCATTTTATTTTATTGAAAGTTTTTTCCCTTTTTTTTTCCGGTACGAGTTTAACAGAGGAATGGACGTCCAAAATTTGGCGTCAAAATATTTTATAGAAAAAAATTTAAAAATAAAATAGTGTAAAGACGTGACAATGTGATTCTTATCCCTCCTTTCAAAATGGAGGGTTGGATAAAAGGGAGGATAGAACTTCTATGTTGTAGGGGAAGCATAAAAAGCATGCCCTTTTCTATATCCAACATACACAAATTCTTTGGAAAAGTACAAATGACTCCCAAGACTAGACTTTCTATGCAAGTTACCCCCAACCAAACTTCATTTCACACTTTTTCCCCCAAAATATATTTTTCTAGCAAATACCCCTCAAGTAAAAATAGTACATTCTTTTTTGACAAAAATACTTTTTTTTTTTACACAAAAATTTAATTTTAACCGGATATTTATGTGGGCTTACGTGGGCTGCCAGACCACTATTTGACATTGCCGGACCCCATTAAACTAAAAAAAGTGCCGGACAGCTCTTTGACATTGCCAGACTATACTTTGGCATGTTACCAGACTGCATGGGCCTATTGCCAAACCGTTCTTTGTCAGTGCGGAATCGCCTTTTCATGGGAAAGATGAGAGAGAACTGTAGGTAAAAGTAAGGGAGGGTAGTTTGGGGGGTTGGGGGATATTTGTTAAGACAATATATTTTGAGGTAAAAAGTGAGAAAAAAAATTTGGTTGGAGGTATCTTGCATAGAAAGTCTAGAGGTTATTTGTAGTTTTTCCAAAATTCTTTATGTGGGATGTGTTTCTTCCCTCCCTTCTCTTGAATGTTAGTATTCATGTACAGTATTTAGTTCTTAGTTCTTTCTAAGTTCTTTCTATCAGAATTCTCACTTGCTAAAGTGAGAGAATACTAAATCGACATTGTTCTTCGATATCCATCAATCGACCTTGATAAATCGATAGAATACTAAATGTGAATACATGTTCGCATTATGTTTGCTTTTCATCGTAATGACTTTGTGCAGGCGCCGTCTGTGAAATCGTCGGTGCCAGATGAAGTTAAAGATTAAAACAAACTAGGAGCAGGAGGAGGAGATGGAAGAGATCGCGGCCATGGCCATGGATGATATGTGCTGCTCATGTTCCACTAGATTAAATCCTTTCATGGGCGAGCTTTTCAACTTGTTTGCTAGGGTTTTAGACAATGAAGTAGGAACCATTTCAATGTCTAATAAAACGGCCTTGTATGCTTTATGCCTGGCTTCACTGCTCATTATTTGTAATAGATTATTTGCAGCACTGGTGTATAAATTGTTTAAAAGTTTTAAGACTACTTATTAGTGATAAAGTAGAAACTGCGGTAAAAAATTGTCTTTTAATTGTAATTACTAATTAAAATTTTGGTTCCCAATTATTATTGATACATTATTAAAGGGTGGAGTTTATCTTTATATTGTAGAACGTGCACCTCTAAATTTTGTGATAAAGTAGAAACTGCGGTAAAAAAATTGTCTTTTAATTGCAATTACTAATTAAAATTTTGGTTCCCAATTATTATTAATACATTAATAAAGGGTGGAGTTTATATATCTTTATATTGTAGAACGTGCACCTCTAAATTTTGTCTGAAGATGTAATTTTAATGTCAAATACCTTATAGTGGCTTGAAAATCTAATTTATCCATAGTTAAAATGAAGTTTACAATATTAACGATGGTACAGAATCGAACAGATCTAAAAGTATTTGAAATGGACGGTCTAGATGGTTTCTTACAATATGCACTATTTTTAGGACTCAAAAATTCTTTTTTATCTCATGTGCATACATCTCGAGGTCTAAATGATCAATTAAACGGTTTTTAAGGTGTGTCTTACTTCAATAGTATAAAGCTAAATCAATTATCTAAAAAATATTAAAAATAAATAAAATAAAATAAACAAAGAATTAGGTGGGTTTATGGTGTGGAAATTAGAGGAGGCCTAAAAAAAAAATTAGAAAAACTTAAAAAATAAAAAAATAAAAACAAATATAACGGGCATTTTAATGGGAATCTAGTTGGGACCCATACAATCTCGGAACCGGATCAATTCCGACCAATGTCCAAAAAATCCAGATCAGAAATCATGGGGGTTTTAAAACAAACCGTCAAGTGTCTATATATGGCACCGTTCAAGAAAACGCTGAATGCCTAAAATACTGGATACAGGAACAGTGTTCAGTAGATTGGAGCTCGCCGGCTCAGATACATGCTTGATATGAGATGTTGTTTATATAATCAAAATAATGGTGAGATATGCGCCATTTTGACGTTTATATATAAATATATCGGTGATTCAGCCTAGATGTTCCTTATTTGAAATTTGACAAAGATGGGCAATAAAAACTCCTTGATATCTTTAAAAAAAAAGCTGGTGTTATTTAATGTTTTTCTTGAATATGTTAACTAAATAAAAATGGAACTCTGGTTGTTACCATTATGGAGTCTATTTCATCCATTATTTTTCAATGATCATTAAACTGTCATATTTTGATAAAGATTTGGGAAAATTATTAATACAATGGTAATGCAGCCTCAAAAATTTAGCGGCAAATGCTAAAAAAACCCCAAGACTACACTTTTTATGCAATTTATCCCCGACCTAACTTCTTCTCTCACTTTTTTTTTCCAAAAATGCACTTTCTATGCAAATACCCCCCAACCAAATAAAAAATAAATAAAAAATTCCTAAACTACCCTCCCTTACTTTTACGTTACCCAAGCCTCTCTCTCCTCTGTGTAAGTGCGCTCTGGCAGTGCAACACTCTGGAGTCACAGTACTCTAGCACAGTCTATGTGCGCTTTGGCAGTGGATCATTCGCTTCGGCACTATGTAAGTGCACTCCAACAGTGGAATCTAGAGTCACAACGCTCCGACACGGTGTGTGTGCGCTCCGGCAATAGATGTTCACTTTGGCACTATGTAAGTATGCTCCGGCAGTGCAACACTCTAGAGTCACAAAGCTCCGACACTATCTATGTACGCTCTGGCAGTGGATCATGCGCTCTGACACTATGTAAGCAAAGCTCCGACACTATCTATGTACGCTCTGGCAGTGGATCATGCGCTCTGACACTATGTAAGCACTCTCTGATAGTAGAATCTGGAGTCACAGCGCTCCGGCAGTAGATGATACGCGCCGGCACCATGTATGTGAACTCCGACAATAGATGATGAGCTCCAGCACTGTGTAAGTGCACTCCGGCAGTGCAACGCTCTGGAGTCACAACGCTCCAACACTGTCTATGTGTGCTCCGACAGTGGATCATGCGCCCTGACACTGTGTAAGTTTGCTCCAGTAGTGTAATCTAGAGTCACAGTACTCTAGCACTGTGTATGTGCGCTCCGATAGTGGATCATGTGCTCCGGCACTATGGTGGTTTGCGCCGACAATGAGCTCCGAAAGTCGGCATCAAATCTGACCAAATTGATTTCTGTGTACATGAAAGGCATTTTCCTCTAAAAAAATAAACTTTTTTCTTTGGGGGGTATATGGATAGAAACTATTTTTTTTGGAGAAAAGTGAGAGAAAAACTTAGGTTGGGGATAAGTTGCATAGAAAGTGTGGTCTTCGAGTTCTTTGTAATTTTCTCAAAATTCAATGAGGTGGTCAAAGCAACCAATTTAGCAACAAAGTTGTTATTTTTCTAAAACATTTTCACTTAGGTACCTTATCAAATTTTATTATTATGCCCAAACTACCTACTTCTAAGTTTGAAAATCTGGATTAGTTTGACCCACTTAAATCCCTTAAACTTACAGAGACTTATGAACTTAAACAGGGTATGACCCCTAACTAAGTTCATAAGTCTCCATATTTTCTCACTACTTCTAACAATATTCTTTTGGGCCTGCCCCTTGCCTTCTTTTAACCTTCCACTTGAACTAACTCGCACCTCCTAAGTTGTCATGGGTCTGCACTACATATTGCCAGCCCACTAAGTCTACTTTCTCTCATCTTATTACTTGTTGGTGCTATACCTAAATTCTCCTTAATGTATTCATTTTAAATTCTATCCCTTTTTGTCCTTTCATGCATCCATCTCAATATCCTCATCTCAATTACATTCATTCTATAAGTATATTATTTATTGACAGTACAGCATTCCGCCCTCTCAAATAAAATCGGTCTCACAGTTGTCCTATAGATATCGCCCTTCAGCTTCATTGGTATGCGGCAATCATAATAAATTACAATTGTACATCTCCACTTCACCCACGCTCTATGAGTGATATCTTCTTCAATCTCTCTATTTTCTTGGTTCATCGACTCAAGATATTGAAAGTTTTAATTTGAAAACTATTAGATTCTTGAACATCCCTCTAAAGTTCTAACTTTGTGTTGACATTGTTTCAGGTCTCATCAATCAAAACTATGCCATTTGCTAGCAACATGCACTACAATACATCATCTTGTAGGTGCTTAGTTAAGTTGTCCATAATTAAGACAAAGAGGTATGGGCTCAATGCTGACCCCTAATGTAGACCTATAGTCACTAAAATCACTAGTTTTTTCACTAGTTGTTTGTATACTAGTTAGTGCTCACTCGTATGTATCTCGAGACTCCTTTCTTTTCTTATTCAAATCCCATCCCATTATTTATTTATTTTTATTGTCTTTTATTTTTATGATTGTTGGGTTAAATTTGAGGGATTGGTAGTGTGAGGGGTTAAAACATGGTTTTTATTTATTATTATGGCTTGGGTAATCATTTTACAATATTCCCCTTTGTGTAGGATTAATATAGATCTTCTTGATTAGTTAGTTTTTTATTCCTATAGGAAAGTCACCTGGAGCCTAATTTCTTGATTTAGTTAGTGTTTTATTCTATGGGAAAGTGGGTTAGAGGTGGCAGTAGAGATTTTTTTTAGAAACGATGATCTAGGGGAGTTAAAATATTTAAAGAAATATTTTATGGGATGATGGATATGATAAAGGTCGATGGGATGATGGATATAATACGGGCCCATGGGAGGAAAGTAGATAATGTGAGGGAAATGGGCTCTACATTCATAGGATGGAAGTTATTGGGTTTGAATGATCTAGAGAGAGATTGACTTGAGATGAGAGAGAGATGTGCGGGAGAAAGAGATACGTCAGGGGGAGAGAGAAAATTATGTTTAGTAGTTTTTCCTTCTTTAGGGTTTTATTTTTTTTGTATAAAAAGGAAAATTTATGTAGAAAGGCTTGGATTGGAATATCTTTGTATAGAATTTGTTTGTAAATGAAAAAAGATAGCTTCTTCTTTTCTATGGCTTGATTTACCGCCATATTTTTCCCTCCATAATTGTTGAATTTTTTATTGTTAAAGATTGAAAGAATACTATATTTAATTTTCTGGACTCCTTTTGCATTATTTATCAATACGCACCAAATCAAATCTCTAGGCACTCTATCATGAATACTCTCTATATCAATAAAGACTATGTGGAGATCTTTTCCCTTCGCTCTAAACTTCTCAATCAGTTGGTTAAGTAGAAAAATAACATCAGTTGTTGATCTCTTCGGTATAAAACCGAATTGATTTTCTGATACTCTCATTTCATGGCTTAGTTCTTGCTCAATCACTAAAGCCACTTAAATTAAATAACTCAAATACCCTTGTTTTTTGGGTTCCAAACCAAGAATCTTATTTTCCATTAAAAAGATCATGTTCATAGTTTGGAACTATGGGCTAGTAAGCATTGGGTATTTTAGATGGTTGTAAGTCACATGTTCCAAATACCCTAGATTCCCACACTTGTTGAAGTTCCAAGTACTTTTTTAATGAAAAACCACTTAATGTGTGGGTTTGTAACCAAGTCAAAATGAGGTATTTAGGTCATTTGATTCAATTAATTTAAGTCAAGCAAACAAACAAAACGCACATGCAGAAGCAAGTAAGATAAAAAGCGTCAATTCGTGATTCTAAGAAAGTATCAGGCTAATCCTGAACCCGATCTGGATCAGCCACTTCCTCTAACCTGAACGACAACTTTTTAAACTTGGTTCAAACCCTTGGTGACTTCTCCCCATATAACAAGCCACCAAGACAAAATCCCACACTACGACCCACTGAATCTTGAGTTTTAAATGATAATTCAACCAAATTTAGTTGTTTCTCTCCTTTTGGGTTGGATTCCAAATTTTGGTAGCCAGAACAGGGCTTATTTTCCGTGTTCGTTGAATTTGAGCTTCACGACGTTTGTCCCCTTTAAGACAATACATCCAATGGGATTTGTCATCATCGACTCTACCTATTCAGCATTAGTATTATTATTATATTCTCCTACTTGTCAACTTGTGCTTGAGAC